CTCCTTGCTGCCACCAGAGGTCACTGCTCAGACACTGCAGGGAACCTGGAGCCCAGTCAGCAGGGAGGCCACAACAGTTGAGGCAGAGACACGGTGAGCGACACCTGGATACGCAGACTAAAAACCCATGGACCCATGACGCTGAACCTTGTCAGGGTCTCATTTCAGGACTCTGGGACCATGATCTGAGGAGGGGACTGCTGACCTGGTGTGAAACCTTCAGCGTGCGACACACTGATCGAAGGAGTAGTTATTCAGGTTCTGTCATAGCTGTTTTAATATCTAAAATATCATCAGTTTACATCATGCTGATATTGATTATCATTTTTTGTTACAGTCTGTTTCACATGAGAAACATCAGAGGTGACAGGAAAGTAAAATACTGAAGAAGAAGCTGGAGAGGGACGACTTCACAGTGTCTGTGAACACTAATTCATTGTTAGATCATTCATCAGTCTGATCATCTCAGCCTCCACTGACGAGCTCATTAAACAGACACATTGATTAACCAGCAGCTCCAGTTTGTATTCTTCTTGTTGTCAGAGAATCGTATTTCATTCATATTTAATATTATACATATATTTGAATATTACTATATTAGAGTGCTTTAAGTTTCCAGTTATTTTGACAGAGAAAACTTTTATAGTTCACAGGTTAGGTTCCCAGTCTGATAAATAAATAAATCAATCAATAAATATAGACCTCTTCTTAATGTCAAAGTTTTTCTCTCTGAAAAAGTCATTAATCTCCATGCAAAACATCTTTTTAAAACGCTGTGGAGCCCGCTCGTTAACACGAGTGAATCTTCACTTTAAAACCTGAAGCTTCTTACTGCACCAAAGTGAAACATTGAACAGAATTCATCCAAGTCAACTTAAGAGTGTGTGCTGTGCAGCCGCGTGTAGTGTGCTGTGTGTGTGTGTGTGTGTGTGTGTGTGTGTGTGTGTGTGTGTGTAAGTGTGTGTGTGTCTGTTTGTGTGTGTGTGTGTGTGTGTGTGTGTGTGTGTGTGTGTGTGTGTGTGTGTGTGTGTGTGTGAGTGTGTGTGTAAGTGTGTGTGTGTCTGTTTGTGTGTGTGTGTGTGTGTGTGTGTGTGTAAGTGTGTGTGTAAGTGTGTGTGTGTCTGTTTGTGTGTGTGTGTGTGTGTGTGTGTAAGTGTGTGTGTAAGTGTGTGTGTGTGTGTGTGTTTTCTAAATTAAATCTGGTCCAAACTGAAGGAACATGATGAACTGATCAATAAACGTATTGATCTCAGGGGATTATGTCTGGTATTTATTGATAGTTTTCTTATTGAGGTTAATTTTAATATTTGATGTTTTATAAATATATTTTATCTGTTTGAAAATCTGCTGCTGAATCAAACTGAAACCAGGAGATTCACCTGAGACCACGACAGGAAGGAGAGAAAACAGACTGTCAGAATAAAACTGTGTCAGACTAAAACACAGAGCATCACAATAAAACAACAAACTCTCAAAATAAAACACAGAGCGTCAGCATAAAACAGACCTTCAAAATAAAACACAGAGCGTCAGAATAAAACAGAACTTCAAACACAGACCATTAGAATAAGACTGTCAAAATAAAACAAAACACTGAGTGACAGCACAGAAACCAACAAAACATTTTAGGCAGACTAAAGATTGTAGAGAGTTGACACTTCTGAACATGAGATCACCTGAGAGCAGGTACAGTCAGAATCAACCAATCACAGAGCAGCAGATGCAGCAGGTCTCTCCTCTGCCTCCTGCAGGAACAGGAAGCAGCAGCTCCACCTGCAGGTGATGATGAGACACTGCAGATGTTTGTGTTTTTGTGTTTTTATGAACTGAAGCTTCGTTTACAAAATGTTTTCTGACAGTTGTTACTATCTGAAGTTAACGTGATTAATGTGTTACTGTAGCTAACAGCTGCAGCTGTCACTCATTTCCTGCAGGTGGCGCTGCTGCTAAAATCCTCCTGCAGGTGTTGCAGGTTGTCAGGTGTGAACGTCGCCCCCTGCTGGTCGATCCGAGCGTGATGAACATGACGTGTTTGATGAAAAGCTACATGTCAAAGTAAAGTTCCTGACTCTCAGGTGAGTTTTCACCTTTGACTGATGATACTTTATGGCTTTGAAAGTTTAAAGAAACAGAGACGTATTTTAATCTTAATGAAGTCTGAGTCAGTATTTTATTTTGACAGTCTACAGCCACACAGGAGTTATAACTCTTCCTCCTCTTCATCACTGAGCTCAGTTGTTGATAAAAGTTCAATTAAAACTGACATTTAAAAGGTTAAAGAAAGTCGTTGAAGTTGAAACTGTGGATTTAAATGTCTGTTAAATGTTTCTTCTTTTATTTTATATGTTGTTAATAATAATAAGTTGTTATTTAATGAAGTGAAGTGTTTGTTTATTCTCCAAACTCGGTGATGTTTAAAGGAACGACGTCTCAGTGAGGAGAAATCAGCTCAGTGTGTTTCAGTGACACACCTGTCAGGTGAGCTCTGTCTGTCTGCTTATGATAAAACATGGTGTAAATAATAACCAGGTGCTTTTTACAGGTGAAGCTCATTTACACATGAACAGGAACTTAACTTGAACTCTTTATATAAAGTGAGTCTGGACCTGCCACTGACAGATCAGCCTGAATGAACAGGTGAGTGTCATTCAGGTCATCAGAGGTCAGCAGGTCCATCAGGTTCACAGGTAAACTTCAGAAATCAAGTGATTCAGTGACGAAGATTAAAGGAGGAGGTGCATCTTTATAATATTTTGTGTTATAATGTGTCACATGGTGAATTCAGTTTAATGATAATATATTGATTCACATTAATGATGTTCTATTCTCCTGTTAACTCTTCTACTCGTTTTAATACTTCCTGCAGATGTTTCACATTAAAAGCCCTCCAGGAAAGAGTTGGAGTGAAACATGTTTGATGTTTGAGTAGAAACAAGCAGAGTTCATGATTGGCAACATCACTGTTTTAAACATAGACAAACATGGAGGGAGTGTTCAGTTTGTATTAACAGAGAGAACAGAGGATCCATATTGATACTTATTGATCAGATTGATCAGATATCAGAAACAGAATTTCCAGGATGTTTAGAGACAAACTCCTTTAACTCTAACTCGCCTTGTTGCAGTGATGCACAGGTGTACTCCAGGATGTGTTGGTACCCTGTGTAATGGCTTTAAGGCCTGATATTTAAAAGTGGATTTAAAAGGTTTAATATTTCTGAAGGAGCTGCAGACGCCCTGAACAAACGGCGCTCGTCTGAGCTCGTCCTCAGCGCTCAGACTACATACGTGTAACCAGTGCTCTTACAGGATCTAAAGGGTTGTGCTGTTATATTGCGAAGGATTTTCCTGTGATCTGCAGCCGTCGTCTCTTTGGTTTCAAACCAAACTGTCTCCTCGTCCACTGTGTCTGGGACACAACGCTCAGTCTGACCGGGAACCCCGTCCTCCGTCAGACGTCGCCCACGTCGAAGGCGCTCATCAGCAGGTCCAGGTCCCCGATGTTGGCGGCCTGGAAAAGCTCAGGTCGGTCCATCATGGAGATTGCGATACGCAGGGCAGCCCAGATGTTGGCCGACATCTGCTGGTGGCTGCAGCGCTGACTCCGCCTCTGCTGGTTCAGAGCTGTCAGGAAGTTACTGACCGCCTCCCTGCAGGATCAGGACCAGCACCAGGACCAGGTCAGACCATTAATATCTACTGTAAGGTCAAACTGAACTTGTTCAAAGATGCATTCAGTGAGTTTTGATCACTCTGGGCGACAGAGACAAACACTGGTTTGGTTGTGTTTTCAGTCAATAATTCAGTGTAAGACTCATTCATTAATGCAGCTTTAAAACACCTAACTGTTACCTGTGAGCTCCCAGGTTGATGCAGCTGATTCCCAGGTTGTATCTGGACCGGATGAATCCTGGCTGCAGCTCCAGAGCTCGGGTGTACGCCTCCACCGCCTCCTCACTGCGGTTCCCATTGGCCAGCGTCGCTCCCAGACGGTTCCACAGCAGGTAGTCCTGAAGAGAGGGAATAGACAGGAGGCGGGGCTTAGTCAATCCACATAAGGTGTTAGTTGAAGCAGAAATGAACATTTGAAAATTTAGCACGGAACAAAACGATGTGACTGAATGTCAAAAGGAAAACAAGTCATAGTACAGTATGTCATATTATAGAAAGTCATGTTGTTGAGTGGATTCATTCACTCCTCACTGAGGATCAGCTGCTTACGTTAGTGACAAACCTAAAATACTCATCATTATATTTACATACAGTGTCACACAAAGATAATAAGGACTGCAAATAAAACCATTTGTCAATTATTAAAACAGCGGTGTGTGTGTGTGTGTGTGTGTGTGTGTGTGTGTGTGTGTGTGTGTGTGTGTGTGTGTGTGTGTGTGTGTTACCTGTGGTCTGACGGACAGCGCTGCAGTAAAAGCCTCCACAGCTTTGTTGAAGTCTGAGCTAAGGTTGAAGAGGACTCCTAGTCCAGTCTGCAGGTCTGGATCCACACAGTCCAGATTCAACAGAGCCGCATCCTGGAAGAGAAGCAACACATCCTGCAGCCCTGACCTACACACACACACACACACACACACACACACACACACACACACACACACGTGTGTTTCTCATGTCTAACTTCACACTCTGGGAGAGTCTCAGACTTCATATAATCAGGCTGTGGTATATTAGAATACAGACATTAACATTTGTAAAGACAAGTTTTCTGTGTCAATATATGAAACTGGATTATTTCCTAACAGGGTTCATATATAATTTTAACACATAAGCACATCCAAAATAAAATGTATATTTCATATGTGTAAATTCAACAGGGTTATTATGGTTGTTTTACGTTTTATGAGTCAACTACAAGTCCCAGAAAGCATTGCTGTCAGAACCGTCCAATCAGAGAGCTTGGTGTTAATCTTTGACAAACTCACTGGATATATTCAGAAAATTGATTTGAATTTTGTTGCTATGGAGTTGCTATGGAGTTGTCTCCATAGCAACAACCACAGAGGCTTATGGGTAATACAGTATTTATACCAAACTGAAGACTACAGCATTAACCTCCAGATTCTGCTTTATCCTCCCTGAACTGATCTAATGTCGCCCAGGTGTTCGTACCTGTCCTGTGTGGAGGTGTCGGGGCCCCTGCGTGGCGTGGCCGGGGAGCCCTGTAGCAGGCTCCTGTGGTCAAGAACCCGATGTTTGTAGCGGGGGTTGTGGCTGATCCAGCGTCGCAGGGCGTCGCAGGCCTCCCGCTGCATGCCGGTGTTGGTGAAGCTGACGGCGAGCGCCATGAGGGCTGGCAGGTTGTTGGGGTTGAGCTCCAGACACCTGCAGCAGGTGAGACAGGTTCACACACTGAACTCTAACAGGTGAGACACCTGCAGCAGGTGAACACGTCATTCATCTGAATCTGACAGAAGTGTTGAACATTATAATGAATTACAGCAGCAAGCGGCGATATGTGGGCCCTCGCCCTGTCGCACACCTCAGCGCCGCTGTCAGGAGGTCACCTGATGAGGTCACCTGACGGGGAGGAGTTTGTTAAAGTTCGACGTCCTACAATCACAAAAATGGCGCCAAAAGTCAAAATAGCTGACTTCCTGTTGGGTTTAGGATACGGCTGCAAGAGGCTTTTGTGAGTCTTTGCATATTTCATGTGCTTTCCAATTTTGGTGCATGTAGGTGAAACAGAGTCGGGGCTATAACGGCATATTGAGCCATTTTGCTACGTCCATGTGTGAGACCCTTAAAATAAGTAAATTTCCACTTTCCATTTTAGCTGCAACAATCCCAACAAAAGGCCGTGAAATCCCGGAGGGACTGATTAAAGGGCATTTATATCATATCGTGTGTAGTGTGATGCTGTCTCACCTCTGCAGGGACACGATGGCAGCCTGCTCGTTCTCGTTCTCTGCCTGAGTCATTCCCAGAATCTGCCAGGCCTGAAAACACAAGAATAGTTGGTCCATCATGTCCTCCCTCTGGGCCCTAAATATATCCCAAATGTTCCATGTATATAAACCTAACAGGTCTCTAAGGTCTGCGGGAGCTGCTCAGCTAGTGGAGCCCAGAGTTAAAACTACAGTCACTGTGCTGCCCCCTGCTGGAACCTGCTGGAACCAGCTCCCAGTGGATCAAATCTAATCTGCCCCAACTGTAACTGAAACTTACTTATTTAATTATACTTTTTATTCCTCTGCACCAGCGACAGTCAGAGCGGCAGCCATTTTGTTTTCAGGTTGTCCGTCTCATTCTCGTGGACATGATATCTCATGAAGGAACTTCTTCACATTTGGCACAAACATTCACTTGGAGTCAAGGATGAACTGATTAGATTTTGGTGGTAAAAGGTCAAAGGTCAGTGTGACCTCACAAAACAGTTTTTAGCCATTACTCAAGACTTCACAACAATTATGACTAAATTTCACACAGATGGTTCATATTTTATATTTCAAATGACTCTGGATAAACAGGATGTAACCTGGAACTAGTCTGAGTGGAGGAGGAGATGATTCTAGTTACTTCTATTTTCATGCTTCTTTTATTTCTCTTAAGCACATTGAATGACCTCCGTGTTTGGTAATGTTTACCTTTACTTTGCCTAAACAAGACCTGAGCGTCTCCTGTCTCTCTCATCAGTGAGTCTGCCTCCATCAACACTCACCTGTTTCCACAGACTCATCAGCAGCTCTCACGTTTTGTGTTGCATCATTGATTATTGTCATTGATTCATCTTTTATGAATTAATAATTTATTTTTGTCTGGAGAACTTTTCTACCATAACAGTAAGAAAAGGGCAGTAAGGTGTTTATAGAGTTAATCAGCTGTAAATAAGTTATTTATTAATCTTCATAAATCATTTAATGATGTTTTATAGATCGGTGATAACATATTAATCTTGTGTTTCCAGGTGATATAGAAATATGAAAATAATAATTTTCTCACTATAATGATGTTCATCTTTTTGTTATGAAGAAGTTTTTTTTCTGCAGGTTGAATAAAGATTCTGTTGCTTCACTGTCTCCTGTTTTAATCTAATGTTGTGGTAACAACATGGATCAGAACCAGGTCCGGTGTTGGTCACCTCAGAGTCCTGCGGGTCCTGTAAGATGGCGGCCTCCAGCAGCAGGACAGCAGCGTTCAGGTCTCCTTCCCGAGCTTTCTCCTGACCCTCTGCGAAGGCGTTGGGCCAATCTCTGTACGGGTTGTTGGTGTTGAAGTAGTAACCCTGAACAAAACAAACACCAGCTCTTTAACGGGGTCACACATCAGAACCATCACTTTAGGTTTGATGGATCAACATGACTGTGGAGTTCCTCAGGGCTCGATCCTTGGGCCTCTTTCATTTACACACTTCCATCAGGCTAATCACACAAAACAATAAAATAACAATTATTAAACATTTATTTTCATTATCAATTCATCTGCAGTTACTTTCTTCTGTAACAATAAGAAGCAATGAAACTTTAAAGACATTACTATTAACGTCTTGTTTCAATGAACCCGAAGTCAAAAACCAAAAAGGAAAAGCAACAAGTCAGCTATAAATTCATCACATTTTGGCCTAAGAATTACTTAAACAATAAGTTATTATTAAAAAATAGTTGCAGATGAATCTTCTTTTGACAAATCAATGACTCCATCTGAATTTAATCAGCAAAACAGACAAAAATGAAAACGAATCGACATTGGAAGAATAAAGTAAAACCAGGTCGGAGATCTTTGTGTGAGTCTGGACTCAGAGTTCAACTTTACCGATCACATCAAATCAATAATCAAGTCGGTAAACTGTCATTTTAAAAACACACAGAACAAAACATGTCTACATGATGGAATATATGACTGCCCAATTACAGCTAAAAGTACCTGCTTTTATGAGAAGGTGGACCCCAGTTACTGACTATCTCGCTTAGGACTCTTATACACTTATATTATACTCATTTACTATTATTTTTTTTATTATTATCTAAAATATCCCTTTTTTGGAGCACAGAACTAGATAAGATGTGTGCTATACCCTTTATAGTGCTATCTCTGTGTGGCAGATGAGACCCAATCTCAAGATGATTTTTATTTTTATTTATTTTATTTATTTATTTTTTTTTTCTTTTTGTATTCCTTGGCGATGTTAATTGCCTGTTAATGTACATGTAAGGCAATAAAGTTAAAAAAAAAAAACACACAGAACCAGATGATTCATACTCATCCTGTTGACAGAAACAAAAGGACTGTTCATTTATCTCCAGTTCCTGTCAGAGTTCATTCTGACATGTTCACAGTCATATTGATCTCTGTGCTTCTGTTCCCGTTAAACTGATCAATAAACACGGGACTGGACTGGACCTTCAGCAAACACATCGATCCTTTACCTTCTTATGTCTCTGTGTGGTTATAGAGTTAATGCATGATTGTAACAGAAACACAAACTGAATCAATCACAGATCAATATCTGATCAGGAGCTTGGACCTGCAGTCTGAGGCTGTTGTGATTTTGACATGAAGTGTCTTTTCTTTGTTGCTGTTTAAACCCAGGTTGTGATTGTTTATCACAACATCAGGTCAAAGGTCAGCTCTGTGTTTACCAACAATAATTCACAATAACAACATGATCATGTCCCACACCTGGGATGCTGTTCTGAAGGAGCGGCTGGACAGCCGGCGCGTCTGTATAAACAACAGCTGATAAGACACGTCACAGCAACATCACGTGACTCTTCTGAGGAAGACAGCAGTCGAAACATGTCAAGGGAAAAGAAACACCTTAAATCACTCGTCTATCGATAAGAAAAAAGCATAAATAAGTGCAGTCGAGACAAGATGAACCTTTTTGGAATAACATGATTATGATCAATTATAAAACAGGAGAGTCACGTCTCTGTCCTCTGCTTTTATTCACTCATTCACTCCATTCACTTCTACTTTGCAGGTTTTTCTAACAATGTAAAGGTGCTGTCAATAAATTTTACTTCCTGTACAGATGTTTCAAATTAAAAGCCTTTCAGTAGCTCAAAGGACATACTCCTTCCTGTTCTTGGTGAGCTTTTAATGTGAAACATCTGCAGGAAGTGTTACATTTTATTGACAGAAGCTGAACGATGATAAAAAAGACGGCAAAGTAGAATTAGTGAGTGGAGACTGGTGAGTATGAATTGTGTTTCATTTGATTTTCATGTTAATTTGAGACTGACATGATTTGAATGCTGGTGTTTCATTACAGGTTTCTAGTAACTAATAAATGTTTTAATTTGGTTGCAACAATAATGTAAAACTAGTTTCCTTAAACCCTCCGCTGACAGGTTTCTATCTGACCAGGAACACGTGAAGGAGACGTCCGGGCTGCTGCTCTGTGGTCTGTTCTACATGTGTGAACAGATGTCTGATAACGTGTCAACATCAGAGTGGCTTCACCTCCGTCACCGTGGTGACGTAACACCCGAGCAGAGGAGGGATAACGCAGGATTACAGACGCTTGGTGTTCTGGGTGGAGGCGCTTGGAGCTGATCTCAGGCCAGAGGATTAAAACTACAGATTAATGCTGACAAACATCCATCAGTAATAATCTGTCATCATTAATAACTGCCACCAGTCTGGGTCAACTGACGTCCACACGTCAGATATGTTCTGAGCTGGGGGGTCCACCACGGTTCTGCTGTTGGGTTCAGGTCGGGTTCAGGTTTTTGGGACTATAAAAACATGGGAGCAACTTTTTTTACCAGACAAGATGATAAATCGGGTTATGAAACAAAATATCTGCTGTAGAAAAAAAAACAATAACATTGAAACTCAGTCTTTAAATCTTTGAATCTGGTTCCAGCTGGTTCCTTCCAGCAGACGTCATCCAGACACGCAGCGGAGAAGGATCACGGTTCAGAGTGGATCAGGGTTTGTGGGACCAGGTTCTGAAGTCACTCACCTTCTCCACAGGTGAGACGGTGGGCGGGTTTGGCCGCTCACCCTCAGACTCCTCCAGCCAGTTTCTCCGAGCAAGCTCCTCCCACTCCGCCTGCATCTTATCCCAGAACTCTGTGTCGGACTGTAACACACACACACACTTATGGCTCTGAGTCTGGATCATGTAGTGAAGCAGATGTAGATTCAGACTGAAGCATGTTGGTAAAATCTTCTAATAAATATGATGTCGTGGACTGATGTCATACATGTGGACTGAGAGCTGCTGTAGTGTTATTATTGTCATCAGATCACATGAAAACCATGTGAGGTGGAGCTGATAGGCTGGTTGTCACGGAAACAAGGACACCGTAGTAAAGCAAGGACATGTTCGGGAAGTGAGGACGTCTTTGGAAACAAGAACTTTTATGGAAGGTGAGGACTGTTGCAGTTTTTATGGACACTGAGGACATTCTGTCAGTGTGTGTGTGTGTGTGTGTGTGTGTGTGTGTGTGTGTGTGTGTACCTCAACAGCAGCCTTCGCTCTGACAAACTCATCCTCCAGAGACTCGTTTCTGGCCAGCAGGGAACGAGTCCGTCTGCGCTGTCTGGACGCCCCACAGTCCTGAAACACACACACACACACACACACACACACACACACACACACACACACACACACACACACACACACACACACACAGAGGTCAGCCAGCAGCTGTCAGTCTGACAGTAAAGTCAAAGTTGTATTTAAAGAGACATTAAAACACCTGATCTGAGCTGCAGCTCTGCAACGTCACACTGTCCACTTCATGTCCAATATTCTTTTATTTCAGTTTTATTTTCTTTCACTTACTCAGCTTCATAGTTTTATATTGAGGTTAAAGCACAGTATAAACACATCAAACACAGATGTTGGTGTTGGTTACTGTGGCAACAAACCAGGTTTCAAAGCAGAAGCACAGCAGCTGACCTGTGTTGACGGTTTGAAGTCCAGATCATCGAAGCTGTGGATGTCGAAGGAAGTCTTGGTCAGTGGATCGGTTTTAAACTCTGCAGACCTGAAATACAAAACCTGGTCTGAGTGTTAAATCCCTGTCAGCGCCCCCCAGAGGCCGCAGGAGCATTACAGCCCCCGTCTATCATCAGAGTCTGAGCAGTGGAGGAGATAGACATGTCCTGATGGTGAGTGAATATATATCAGAGTGAACGATGAATGAGAGTTCGTTTTGTGTCTTTTCATCTTTACTAATGAACCATTTAATTCACGGAGCAGCTCAGAGGCCACCGCCATCTTTTAAGGTGGAATGTTTTCTTGTGTTTCTCAATGTATGATTGACGTTCGGAAATCAATCAATACACATTAAAAGTCAATATGACACCTCTGACCATTTCCTATATCAGCTCTCTACATGACAGACGCTTTAGATACAGTTCTTTTTCTAAGTTCTTTTTCTGGGCATTTGGTGTCTTTACTGGACAGAGTGGAGACAGGAAGTTGGGGGACAGAGAGAAGGGAATGACGTACAGCAAAGAGTCCGGCTGACCGGGAGTCGAACCGGAGACTTGCTGCTACGCTCCCGAACCACTCTGCGATCAGGTCGCCCCAAAATGTGTTTGAATTTCAGCCGGACCATGTGACCTGTGGATATTTTATTTCATCAGGTCGTTCCGGTGGCTCCGGCAGCCCAACAGCTCTGATGGGGGGGGGGGGGGGTTCTTACCACAGCAGTTCACTGGACGAGTGGTGGGAGGTGCATCTCTTCTCGTATCTCCTCCTGCGTCCTCCGTCCTCCGCGTCCAGGTTCACATCGTCCCATTTGTCCAGTGGAGACGACAGACTGACTGTAACCATGACAACAACACAATGATTCACACCAGAGAAAACACGCTGCGAAGTTTGTGAAAACACGGATTGACTCTGAGGACTGAACCAGTCGTGTTGTCTGACTCAGTCTGAGGTCACTGAGGTGAAACAGGAAGTTAAATGTCTCATCACAGTAAAAGCTCAGATTAAAGTCTGACAGCTTTGTTCTCACAACTGACTGAGTTCAAAGCTTTTAACAAAATGAGCAACAACAGCAGCAGCTGATCTGGAGTCTTTCAGCTGACTCTCACAGATCATCTGCTGTCACGTCGAGTCAGTGTTACCTGAGTCCAGTGAGATCCTCTCAGGTGTTCTGGGACTGCCCGGCAGGTGCTCCACCTCCACCTGGATCAGCTCGGTCTCCTCGGGCCTCGCTCGGCGTCGAGGACTCCTCGAGCTGCCCTTCCTCCTTAGAGGGCTCCTCCTCTTGTTACCGCCACCGCCGCCGACACTGCTGCTGCCACTACTGCCACCATTACTGCCCCCGCTGCTGCCCCCGCTGCTGCCCCCGCTGCTGCCCCCGCTGCTCTCCCCCGGCTCGCTGAGGTCCACCAGGTCCAGAGCCGTGGACAGAACTGCAGGACAGGAGGACGGACAGTTAGGATCAGATTCAGTCCAGCAGGTCTGGTGTCTCTGCTGGTCCCAGGACAGAGATCCAGCAGGTCGGTTCTGAGAGCTGGTTCCATGTTGGATCCAGTTCTCCGTCAGAACAATGACAGAACTCTGGGACCAGCTTCACACAGACAGACTGTGTCTCAGATACAACAAACAGACTCCAGAGAGACGGAATCTGATTCATCTGCTGCACAAAGCAGTATCTTCTATCTTAAGTCAGACTGTGGTACAAGGAACCACATCCAACCGCTCAGCTCCATTTACCTTCAGCAGAACATGTTTGTCTTCAGGAAGAATTCAACAGCTACAGGAAGTTTTACTTTGAAGAGTGAAACAATAAAAAACAAAATGGCCATTGTCTTTAAAAACTCTTTCCCTTCTCTTTTCTCTCTTTCATAACAATGTTGGCAAAGTTTTGGAAACACTGCACGCTCTATTTTATTTTTATTTTTTATTTTTTGAAAGCTCTGGGGTCGTGTTTTATTTTGAAAGCTCTGGGGTTGCGTTTTAGTCTGGACAGAAACAGACCTTTGTAAACGATGAGGTCACACCCACGGTCTCTCCTGATTGGCTGTCATCAGCCTGGACTACCAGTGGTGAATACAACATGATGATGAATGACAGAGTTACTGACCTTGTTGTCTTTGTAGCAGCTGCTGTTCACTTACATTCTGTTTTAATGCTACAGCTGCTGCTCCTCCCTCAGAGGAGACGATCTACTTCCTGTTTACAGCAGCTCGCACATGCTCAGTGTAGGTGATGGTCATGTGATGTGTGTTTTCAGGTGTGTTAGAGTGGACGTAGCCTCAGTCTGATGGTAAATGAGCTCTCTCTCCAAGCTGCTGACTGGACTCTGACAAAGACAGTTTGTGAGTGAAGACGCGTCACTCTGTAACATCTCTACGACCAGAGACAGAAAGTTCAGATTTCTACATTTGAGTAAAGATGATTTCAGTTGTAATCATCACCATCATCATCATCATCACCATCATCACGATTGAAATGAACTGTTTCATACTGAGTACTGACACCACACAGCTACAGCCGAGCTGCACATGTACAGATGATATCTGCATTGATTCTCTCAGTGCGACTGTTTTTGGTCCAGTGCATCATGAATGTGTCGAAGAAGCTGCAGCTCTTTCATCGATACATCTGACCACACGTTGAGTCGTATTAATGTGATTCGTGCTCTGAGCCGAGTCGTCCGCTGTGACCTTTAAACTTCATGGTCAGACGCCGACACGCGATCCCTCCGTGTGATTCTCAGTTTGTACCTGAACAGATGAGATTTCAGCTGCGTCGTCTCTTTGACTCTCACTTACAGAGAAACAATCGGATCGGTTTGTGTGGTGAAGACTCTAATGAGCGTGAGGAGGAGGACGCAGCAGACAGGAGGAGGACAGAGGAGGTCAGAGGTGTTAATTAATGGCTGGTTTACCTGCTGAGTCAGAGGTGACAGATGGGCACAGCCAAGGACAGGAAGTTAGAGGTTTGGGAGAAAACAGGGAAACAGAGACGGGAGGTGAGAGGAGGACACAGGAAGTTACAGTTAGAAACAGACAGGACGAGGAGGAGGAGGAGGACGAGGAGGAGGAGGAGGAATCCTGTTAACTGAATTTTAATCCCAAATATAATCATGTTATTTCAACTCAGACTGTGTCGGTCGTTTTATCTGTTCGAAGGCGTTCAGCAGAGACACGACAGAAAGTCTGGAGAGAGACGGGAAATTAAAGGACACCAAGGTCCAGCTGGACCCAAGGAACCTGGGACATGGTGGGTCTGCTGAACAGGATCCTCTGCAGGGATTGGTTGACAACTTTGTCAACTTTCTATTTTTTAACTGCAGTAACTCCACAGACACTTTGGGGGTGGAGTTATCTCAGTGTGTATAGGCTGAGGGGGCGGGGCAAAGGAGAAAAGCACATCATATCATATCATATCACAAGGAGGTGATAATTAGCAGGAGACTACCTGCTGTGTTGGAGGTGAGGGGTCGGGTCGAAGGGGCGTCACCGCGGCTCTCCGACAGGAAGTCGTCGATGGAGGGACTCAGCAGGGGTCGACTCTCCTGCTGCTCCCCGACCAGCTGGAGACAAGAAGAGACCAGTTAAACAGAAACCATGACGGACAGGTTCTGGGTCTGGGTCTGGGTCTGGGTCTGGGTCTGGGTCTGGGTCTGGGTCTGGGTCTGGGTCTGGGTCTGGGTCTGGGTCTGGGTCTGGGTCTGGGTCTGGTTCTGGGTCTGGGTCTGGTTCAGGTTCTGGGTCAGGTTCTGGGTCTGGGTCTGGGTCTGGGTCTGGTTCAGGTTTGGGTCCAGGTCAGAGTCTGGGTCAGGGTCAGGGTCTGGGTCAGAGTCTGGATCTGGGTTCTGGGTCAGGTTCTGGGTCAGGTTCTGGGTCTGGGTCTGGGTCAGGTTCTGGGTCCGGGTCAGGATCTGGGTCTGGTTCAGGTTCTGGGTCAGGATTCTCACTTTGGTTCGGTCAGGATTCTGGGTCAGGTATCAGGTTCAGGGGGGGGGGGGGGGGCGGGGGGGGGGGGGGGGGGGGGGGGGGGGGGGGTGGGGGGGGGGGGGGGGGGGGGGGGGGGGGGGGGGGGGGGGGGGGGGGGGGGGGGGGGGGGGGGGGGGGGGGGGGGGGGGGGGGGGGGGGGGGGGGGGGGGGGGGGGGGGGGTCAGATTCTGGTCAGGTTCTGGGTCTGGGTCTGGGTCAGATTCTGGGTCAGGTTCTGGGTCAGGTTCTGGGTCTGGGTCTGGGTCAGGTTCTGGGTCTGGGTCTGGGTCAGGTTCTGGGTTCGGGTCAGGTTCTGGGTCAGGTTCAGGTTCTGGGTCAGATTCTGGGTCAGGTTCTGGGTCTGGGTCAGGTTCTGGGTCAGGTTCTGGGTCTGGGTCTGGGTCAGGTTCTGAGACCAGGATGAAGATGAGAACAGTACAAACAGTTTTTATCCCCTGACTGACTTCACACTGAAACAACTGATCCGTTCATTGATTCATCGATCAGCAGAAAATAATCAGAACCTATTTATTGATTATTGATTTATTGTTTCATTGGTCAAACATTCTGTGGTATCAGCTCCTCTTTGTCATCAATAATGAGACTAAACGTGGTTGAACGACGTGGAGAAGTGATTTACAGACTGACCTGAGCTGCTGTTTGTTCAGTCACTAAAACCTGTTTTCATTCAGTTCTGTGGAATAATCGGAGACAAAGTCACAGCACAGGTCGTCCGGTCAGGTGTGGCTCCAGTAAACGTCACAGCTGTTCAGTCAGATTTGTACTTGATTTTAAAAATACTGCAGTATTCAAAAGTATGTTTTTTCATGTCACCACATTGTTGTTTTGTTCCACATTTACAGAACCTGACGACTCTGAAACAACCCGCTGACTGACTGATGTTTTCTTTTTCTTCTTTTTTAGTCAGTGATGAAGTCTGGTCGTGTTAAATTCATCAAACATTCAAACTAAAAGCACCTTTCTTTATTTCTAAACCTTCAAACACAGACTTCAGATCAGACCAGGGTCTCTGTGAGGAATCTTCAGCCTCATCTTTATCTAACATCGCCATCGTTAGGACACTGACAGTGGAGGAGTTGGCTGTGATTGGTCTATTAGATTTTCAAAATAAATAAAATTCTTTCCTCTGACTAAAGGTTCCGCTGCAAAGTAAGAGTCGTTCATATTGTAGTAAGTGCAGAGGAGGAAAAGTCACAAGTTTACTAAATTAATAATATATAAAGTCGTAAGTAAAGTACAAATACTGAAAAATATACTTAAGTACAGTCCTCAAGTAAATGTACCTCATTACTGCCCCCCCCCCCGCAAATAATAAAATATGAAAACATGTCGTCCCTCTCTGCTGCTTAAAGAGCAAACTGCTGACAAAGTAAAGGAGTGCAGAGAGAGTGGAACGAGCACTCGTCACATTATAAAATAATAATGTGATAACTGTCCAAATATAATGAAATGTTTCCAAATGAGTCACAAACAGAAGAAAACCCTCCACAGGTCTGGAGCTTCATGTTTTTAAAAAACAGCAGCAGACGAGTGAGTGAAACAATCCAATCATGATTTCACCATCACCACCTCTCTAATGTTTAACTCCTGAGAGCTGCTGCAGTTCCTCTACCGACCACTAGAGTCTGGCTCCAACAGTGAGTCAGTCCCCATAGACTCCCATGTTAAAATGTTCAACTTTAGAGCAGAAATAAACATGTTTACAGCCTGGTACAAAAACTGTTTTGGTCTCTAGAGCTGATTTCCTCCTTCATGACACCTGTTTATAAAACTCACCTGTTTATAAAACTCACCTGTTTATAGAACTCACCTGTTTATATAACTCACCTGTTTATAGAACTCACCTGTTTATAAAACTCACCTGTTTATAAAACTCACCTGTTCACATTTTATTAAGGACTACAGTTATGGAGGAAAATGGGCGTGGCCTCTGTGAGTGACAGGTGGGTGAGCATATGTTTGACACCTAAGTCTCAGCTCCATACACGCCCCTCCTCTTTGACCTTATTTGGATTAGCTGGGAGTTAGGGTCGGAGTCAGGTACTGCCAAGATGGCGACAATGAAGCAGCTCACTCTGAGCTTCAGAAACCTGTGGGTGACGTCACAGAGGCAACGTCCATCTTTATTTACAGTCTATAGTGTCGACCAAATATGGTCACAGTCTCCTTCCTGAGTGACAGCATTGAATAAAGACCAAAAGTGTTTCTGCAGATCATTATGATGTCACAGTGAATTGACCTTTGACCTTATGGATATAAAATGTCATCACTTAATTTTATCCTCATAAACATTTGAGTTAATTTTTGTCATAATTAGTCGATGAATTTATGAGTCATGGCCAAACTGTGTTTTGTGATGTCACTGTGACCTTTGACCTTTGAGTATGAGAATAAATCAGCTGCTCCTCAGACATTAGAGATTAGACAAATATCTCATCTGAGTTCATGGACTGTTACTGTTGTTACTGCTACAGGTCAGAAGTTCTTCTTCTTCTGCTGCTTTTCTCAGGTACAAACAGCTTCAGGTGTTTCACCGCCTCCTTCTGGACTCGCAGCTGAGACCTGACCAACAGAGTCCAGACCACATGTGCTATATTCCTGTTCATCTGAGGCAGCCTGAAGTCTTTAGTTTATTCCATTGTTTATTTCCCAACAACAAATTGCTTCCAGCTCTCCTGATGTTACTGAAAGGAATTCTGGGAAACGTAGGACAAAGTACAACCTTTAACTCACTTCAGTCTGAGGCCTGATTAACCTGATCACACAGCAGTGTGTGTGTGTGTGTGTGTGTGTGTGTGTGTGTGTCTGCCCTCCTAATCCTAATCCACACAGCCGTGTACGTCCACATGTCGACTGGAACACGCTGGTATTTAATCCTGTCAAACAGCAGCTCCGTCCAGTAACAGTGCATCAGTCTGTCGACCCCCCCACCGTCTCACTGAGCACAGACACCACTGTCCACCCCCAGAGACATGAAGAGATCGGACCAGGAGATCGGACCAGGAGACCGGACCAAGAGACCGGACCAAGAGACCGGACCAAGAGACCGGACCAAGAGACCGGACCACAGCACAGGAACAACAATCAAGAAGATAAACACTAATAATTCAAGAATAATTAAACAACAGCAGCTGAAACCTGATCAATCGAGAACAAGCGCTCTGGGTCAGAGGTCAGAGGTCAGAGACGGTTCAAATCCGTTCAACACTAGCTACACTCTAATTCACCTGCTTCACATCACTCTAGAGCTGCTGCAATTGGTTCATTCAATGATGAGTTGATCAAAAGAAAATTAATCAGCAGCTATTTTGATCAACAAATCATTTTAATAAAAAGGACGAATGTGATTTTCTTTGTCTCATATCAAAGTAAATTCAACACTGTTAATTGGAATAAAACAGCTGGTTATTAAAACATGAAGACATGGACTCTGCAGGTGGATGATGAGACAGAAACAGGTTTGAAGCTCCACAAAACAAAAATTAAAACTGAAGAAAAAGAAAACTTAATCTCTGAGCAGTGCCATATAACAAACAAGCGTGGTCGTCATGCCAACCTTGGTTGTCACGGTGAGGAGGGGGTTTCCTTCAGAGGATGCCTTTTTACCAGGAAGCTCCTTCAGCACCATGGCAACGACCCTTTCCCCTTTGCCCTACAACAGGCAGATCGACAGGTTCATTCATTCATTCAGACGCAGCAAATGAAACAACAAACCTGACTGTGATTCATCCTCTTTACACTCGACTCTGACTGTGGAGTCCACTGGTAGATAATAATGATAAACACCTACAGCTGGTCCTCCACTGCAGAAACACAAGGGAGGGGAGGGGCCATGTACTTGGCGGCCAATAAATTTTCCTTTTGAAATGAGAAAACCAAAATCAGGAAATAGCTTGTTTCCCGTTTTTGTTTTGATAACAAAAAACAAACGACATAACCAGTTTTTTCTTGATGTGATAATAAATAATAATAATTCATTGGTAATTTAGAAACAAAAAAAACTTAAACGTTTTTTGATTCTGACACCAAAAATGTTTTTCTGTTTTGGTTTTGAATCAAATAACAGATTTAGGTTTTTTTGTTTTTAAATTACCGATGAATTACAGATTATCCGATGATCCCTGGACCTTCCACACAGGTATTTTAATTCCCAATTTACATTTATAATCAGATCAAGAGAAAACAGATAACGGTTTGTTTTATCATTTATCTTTTTTGTTTCCTGATTTCTAAACGTTAACTGGGAAACGAGCTGTTTCCCCATTTTGGTTTTCTCATTTCAAAATGAAAACTCGTTGGCCACCAAGTACACGGACCGACCAGGAAGCTGCAGCAGACAGTTTACATCAGATCTCTAAAGCCTGACCTCAGAATATTCAGCCAGATAATAACAACTAGAGTCATGAATGAAAAGTGAACAATTCAACACACAGAAAATCAAATAAATCCAGAGATGTGAACTGTGAGACTGTAAATATAGATGGACGACATCTCCTCCATACAGGCGCCGCCATCTTACACTGGTGATGTCATTTGGAGCCACAGTCTGCGCAGTAGTGTCAGTGGGTGGAGCCACAGTATCGAGGTCCCGCCCATACACCCGCTCACGAACCAATCAAAGCTGTCAGAAAACCAAAGTTATCAGACAAATGAAGTTTGGCCCCTCCCACCTGGAGGGGGCGGGGTTTATGACCTGAGATGTTTTGGCTGTCGTCCATCTTATATAGAGTCTTTGCTCCAAACCATGACACAGATAATAATGATGGTTCTTCATCTCTCCAGAAACATCCTGATGAGTTCGTCTCTGTGAGCTGGACTCAGACGTTCAGTTTGAATATAGTACGATACAACTGTAATACACAGGTGTAAAATCAGGTGTGAGTGTAATCATGTGGACACACACCTGGAGAGCAGGTGAACCACTGCAGACTGTCCTTCAGCACACACATTGATGAATAGGTAATGTTATTAACAATAATATTGATGAATATATATATATATATATATATATATATATACACAAATGGACTGTCCCAAATACTGATTCACAGCTGCGTATAAGACACATGATCAGTACGTAGTCCAAACGTACCAACTCCCAAGAGCTCACATGACCTCAACGTAGGTACACACACATCACAATGTATACGAAACGTAACCCCTCCAATTAAAAAAAGGGGGGTTGACACCAACCAATAGCATCGATGGTCCAAACGTCTTAAGATGTTCCAAACTGACATTTTGGACCAGTCTGCGTTCCATATGATATAAACACGTTTACAGCCTGGGATCCAGACATAGGATCCAGTGATCCAACCTAGACCCAATAATCTAGATCGAATACTTGTTCACTATTCAGTCCTGTTTCGTGCTAACAGATCTACGACAAAAAGAATCTAAATAAACAGCTGGTTAGCAACATCTAGATACTGGGAGACGCTCTAGACACAGGTGTACCAGTCAAATGATCTAAATAGTGATCTAGATTAAAGGGTCTAGATCATAAACAATAGGACACAGTCTTTATATGAGGCAAAGACCTGAATTCAAGAATCCGATCTAGACACAAGTGACGTTTAATGAAAATAGTGATGTCTGAAACCTCCATTTTGTGTCTTCTTCACTGTTTATACTCCATTTCAACTCAAAGCCAGGTGTTGACCTCATTTCCTCTCAGGATCTCTACACACGCTCCTGCAGGACCAGCAAACAGGTGAGACAGGTGAGGTCCTGCAGCTGTGAGTCGTGACAGACGTCTGGAGGCAGAGTGAACGCTGCCTCAGTGAACCCAGCAGGCAGGACGAGTCCATCAATAAAACATCATCCACAGCTTTATTATTAGACCGAGCCGCGACATGATTTCACCTGCTCCTCCTCCCCAGGGAACAACCATGTGCTGCTTCTGCAGACTTCATGTGTTCATACTTCATGTGTTCATACTTCATGTCTTCCTACTTCATGTCTTCATACTTCATGTCTTCATACTTCATATATTCATACTTCATGTCTTCCTACTTCATGTCTTCATACTTCATGTCTTCCTACTTCATATATTCATACTTCATATATTCATACTTCATGTCTTCATACTTCATGTCTTCCTACTTCATGTCTTCATACTTCATGTCTTCATACTTCATGTGTTCATACTTCATATATTCATACTTCATATATTCATACTTCATGTCTTCATTCTACTGTCTCTGCTGTTTCTACTGTCTGTACTGTTTCTACTGTCTCTGCTGTTTCTACTGTCTCTGCTGTTTCTACTGTCTGTACTGTTTCTACTGTCTCTGCTGTTTCTACTGTCTCTGCTGTTTCTACTGTCTGTACTGTCTCCACTGTGTATCTGACACGAGCTCAGAATAAAACCAGACGTATCAGTCACAGGAGCTTCATCATCAGTATTTGATGATGCAGCTGAAATGAAAACTTCTTCCTGGATCTTTTCTCTCTTTAATGTTCTCTCTCTCCCAGTTTCCTCACTCTGTCACAGTGTCGGCCGTCCGGCTGTGAAGTGTAAGTGTGTGTGTGTGTGTGTGTGTGTGTGTGTGTGTGTGTGTGTGTGTGTGTGTGTGTGTGTGTGTGTGTGCTGTTGGTGGAGATGCTGTCGGACTAAAAATAACCTGCTGTTGTGCTGAGCAAACAGTCCTCCATCAGCCCAGAGTCCCAGCAGAGCTGAGCTCAGTGCTGCTGCAGCAACTCCAGTCACACAGTTAGCATCTGCACCTTCACCTGGACTGTACTGACATCCAGTTACACCACTGCTAATACTGCTAGCACTACTGCTAATAATACTATACTAATACTACTGTTAATACTGCTACTGCTACTACTGCTACTACTACTAATACTGCTAGCACTACTGTTAATAATACTATACTAATACTACTGCTACTACTGCTAATACTACTACTGCTACTGCTAATACTGCTAGTACTACTATTAATAATACTATACTAATACTACTGCTACTACTGCTAATACTACTACTGCTACTGCTACTACTGCTAGTACTACTATTAATACTGCTAATACTGCTATCACTACTATGCTACTGCTAATACTGCTAATACTGCTAGCACTACTGTTAATAATACTATACTAATACTACTGCTAATACTGCTAATACTACTACTGCTACTGCTACTACTGCTAATACTGCTAGCACTACTGTTAATAATACTATACTAATACTACTGCTACTACTGCTAATACTACTACTGCTACTGCTACTACTGCTAATACTGCTAGCACTACTGTTAATAATACTATACTAATACTACTGCTACTACTGCTAATACTACTACTGCTACTGCTACTACTGCTAATACTGCTAGCACTACTGCTAATACTGCTATCACTACTGTTAATAATACTATACTAATACTTCTAATACTACTACTGCTACTGCTAATACTGCTAATACTGCTAGCACTACTATTAATAATACTATACTAATACTACTGCTACTACTGCTAATACTGCTAGTACTACTATTAATAATACTATACTAATACTACTGCTACTACTGCTAATACTGCTAGTACTACTATTAATAATACTATACTAATACTACTGCTACTACTGCTAATACTGCTAGTACTACTATTAATAATACTATACTAATACTACTGCTACTACTGCTAATACTGCTAGTACTACTATTAATAATACTATACTAATACTACTGCTACTACTGCTAATACTGCTAGTACTACTATTAATAATACTATACTAATACTACTGCTACTACTGCTAATACTGCTAGTACTACTATTAATAATACTATACTAATACTACTGCTACTACTGCTAATACTGCTAGTACTACTATTAATAATACTATACTAATACTACTGCTAATACTGCTAATACTACTACTTCTACTACTGCTAATACTGTTAGTACTACTGTTAATAATACTATACTAATACTACTGCTACTGCTACTACTGCTAATACTGCTAGTACTACTATTAATAATACTATACTAATACTACTGCTACTACTGCTAATACTGCTAGTACTACTGTTAATAATACTATACTAATACTACTGCTGCTGCCAATACTGCTAGTAGTACTGTTAATAATACTATACTAATACTACTGCTACTGCTACTACTGCTACTACTGCTAATACTGCTAGTACTACTGTTAATAATACTATACTAATACTACTGCTACTACTGCTAATACTGCTAGCACTACTGTTAATAATACTATACTAATACTACTGCTACTGCTGCTGCTAATACTGCTAGTACTACTGTTAATAATACTATACTAATACTACTACTAATACTGCTAATACTACTACTGCTACTGCTACTACTGCTACTACTGCTAATACTGCTAATACTGCTAGTACTACTGTTAATAATACTATACTAATACTACTGCTACTGCTACTACTGCTACTACTGCTAATACTGCTAGTACTACTGTTAATAATACTATACTAATACTACTGCTACTACTGCTAATACTGCTAGCACTACTGTTAATAATACTATACTAATACTACTGCTACTGCTGCTGCTAATACTGCTAGTAACTGCGTTAATAATACTATACTAATACTACTACTAATACTGCTAATACTACTACTGCTACTGCTGCTACTACTGCTAATACTGCTAATACTGCTAG